GGCCATCGGAGCCCGGCGCTTGGTGACGTCCCAAGGCTTGGATTTCCTTGAGGTGTACGAACCACACACCCAACTTCCTGGTTGCGGTAGTGGTCACCGACTTGATTGGGCATCGCGGTGTATTGGGTACCTTTCATCGAAGCACGTTAGATGCAACAACCTCAATTGCATAACCACAAACAGTGAAGCACATTGATACCGGTTAGATGATAGACAGCCCTGCTGTCACATTCACATTCACATTAATGTGTCCTTGATAGCTGGCTCAACTCAGACATGGGAAACCACTCCCGACTTGGGTGGTCGAGCAGTATCACCCTTAAGCAAGCCGCATGTACTGCGACCCAGTGATCAAATGACTGGGATCTCAACAAGCGTGGAGCACAATGAAAGCATTTATTTTATACAATGTGCCTCGAAGCGCCCTGAATTGGCGAGGGACGAGTGTTTCGGTGGACAGATTCTACCGTCGTGGGTTACTCACAAAATGTCACCTAGCGACCTGCAATCACGGTCTTCGATGGTGGTCTCCTCTTCCTTAAGGTGAGGTGGCACGTCAACCCAACGTTAATGAGTTTACCAACCACTGATAGTTAGCTAGTCTCTTGATGTGGGTTAATCTTAACCTCAAATTCCCCAAGGTCAGGCTCATGAAGTGCACAAGGATCACTGGGCATATGATCACCAGATCGATTAGGCCTTAAGGCATCAGGCAATCCGTACAGTAAAAAATATTGACCGACAAGAAAACGAGCCTTAGATAAGTGGGAGGCTCGCAGCACCTACCCACTACTCTGCTACTACTACTATTCTTGCTCGAATGATACAATTTTATTCCACATCCGTGACACGAGGGCGTATGCACCGCTTAGGAACTCATCCCTCAATCATACTTTCGAGTAGTCTATAAAGGCACAAATAGGAATGGTGTAACGAAGGCTATATACTGTTTAGCTTTTCCATCTCACAATTAGTCAAATACTTACTGGTGGTGGACGTTGAAAGAAAGGTTTGTTAGCGGCTAAACCCCCGCTAGCAACCGTTGTTGGTGCCCGAGACGTCCAGGCAGTAGGCTGAGACAGCGATTCCGTAGTGACTGCAGTCGTAGCGTTAGTGAGCGCTGCTACTGCGCCGTGTGTGTTGACTTTGTCCGTTTGAGGAGCATCGGACTGCGGACCTAAAAGAAAATCAGTTTGATAAACTTCGACCATAAAATTCATTTTGCATTTTTTATTACCGAAATTTTATTGTGGGGTGAACCCCATGGTCACTTGGACCTGTTGTAAAGCCCTGAGTATTGGAGTGACGAACCACGTAAGGACCCCTTCAGGTTAGTTGCGGTATTGAACCGGGCAACAGCAAAAGCGCGGTGTCGGAGTTCGAACCCCGGACCATAAGGTCCTAGGCACACCGGTGACACTGACCAAACCGCTGGGTCAGCACCGCGCCATAACGCATCAAGTGTATGCTTACCCTTTTGGGAAGTCTCGTCAGCAGATGTCTCCGGTTTGCTTCCAAGGGACCTTGTGTAGGCCGGTTCAAAGGATGTTCCGATGGCTTCGCCACTGAGTGAACCATTCACGGAGGATAGTGGAGCCGTGACCGCAGTGCTGCCCACTTCCGCGGTTGCACCAGCGCTCGTTGTCGGCCTAGATTCTGATGGTGCGCCCCACCCACCCCCACCCGGGGGAACGATGGAGACACGACTATCCAATCCGCCTGTTTCTGCTTTGATGCTGGGTACCCACGCAGGAGGCGGAAGGCGACGAGTTCCTTGGACTTTCCCCACGACTTGCATTCCATATTGCCGAACAGCTACAGTGGCAGAGATTTCAAAGATAAGCGGTTACAGCTCGGATACCATGCACGGTAATTACTAACAAAAAGTTGCGTAAAGTTAAGGATGAAACTGCATGCTTTCAATTCATCTGCTAAGCTACAAATGGACAAGTAGTTTCATGAAACGAAACCACGGCGAAAAAGAGCTAAGCGATGCTGGTGCTTTGTGAGCGCATGATTTATGATCAATTTACCCTCCAAAACAGACTCATGTTTTATTCACCTGATGCTTACAATGTGCTTGCTAGCTAGCCTAATTAAGTCTCTAACTGCTTTCTGTTCTTTTTTACAGCTCTCATAAGTCATGAGCAAAATGTCCAGCAACTGGGTCCTCCACATTTTGATTTTATATTTCTTATGTTTACGTCATCCAGCGTGAAACTTGAGACATGGCAGAAACGAACAGTGGCCTGCCTCATCCGCATCTCCTTTTCATTGCCAAAAACAAGACTCATGAACAATTAGTTCAGAAGTTAGCGGACCAAGAGAAAGATTGATAATAAGACTACTGACCCAAAAGGGAAATCGGTGCTCCCAGAAAAGCACTTGATAGTGTCGCGAACAGGAGCTAGTCTTTTAGATGCCTGGGTCCTCATGAATACTACTTTCACACTCCTTTTAACAGTCCAGTCCTTCATTCAGACGGAGCCAGGTCTCAGAACATCCTAACGGTGGTATCGCAGCTGTAATCCTACCGAAGTACTTCCTGTAGCCTCCACAAGCAACCCGCACAGATGTGTAAGGGCTGTGGTGAAGTGGGTTTCTCGCAAACAATCAACAAAATCTTGCTATATCTGCTGCATGCTCACCTACGACTGCGTGCACTGCAAGTTCAGGTCCATGGAGTCTTTTATCGTGCTGATCGACACGGGAGTTCCAGCAACCTGTACCCGAGAATTTACTACTGACCACATGGGAAATAGATCAATCCCAGGAAAACATCACGATGGCAATAAACACCCCATTTAGTGGTACAAGGGACGATTGGTTCATCTAGATCAAAGAGAAAGCAATGTCCATAAAGGTATCAAACTATTCATCCCGAATAACCCTTTAACATGATTTCCTGGGTTTCTACGAAAGCCTTCTGTCATAATCTGATGTTTTACCCCATTTCACATTGGACTATAGTAACTCTTCCATTCCTTACATTTTAGCTACTGTACTACAATCGTTAGAGGATTAAAGTCTTCATTCGACCAGACTGCTCTTTTCGATTACTCTACATCATTCGACTATAACACCTTTAACATTAATTGGAGTAGAAAAGAGCTCACCTGAACCAAACTACGTAAACATGGACATCCGAAGACCTTTGGACGAAGAATGTCCTTCAGACATGAGTTTAAGGTTGTCCAATCGTGAAGCGGTAGTGCAGTATACGTGATCTCTTAGTCGAGGAAAGGTTACGTCAGCACTAAGTGTTCCAAACTTGCTTACACCGTTTTGGTCTAGGGAAGGAGAGTTGTAACATTCCTTACTATTGCCGACATTTCTCAGGCAATTACCCAAGTAAGAGAAACAATCCGCTGCAGTCGCATCTTGACCGAACTTCAGAGTACTTAGTTGACACCCTGTCTCGCGGTATCATCACGCACTTTCAAGTTGTAAAGCGCATACAGGACGAATTAAAAGAAGTGAACAGCAAAAGCTAGAGTAAATTTAGTTAGCCTGCGACACTTCAGGTACCCTCATGACGCCCAACTGTTCCTTGTTGGGTGTACATCGTCGCGGTTCGTAGGGTTGCGAGATCTGGACCTTTCCCGTTGACTGCCAATCGACCTCATGTTTCAAACCACGGATGTCCTCTAAGTATTGATCATGTATGGTGAGAACATCGGGTGAGCAATGACGAGGTTCCTCGTCGTGTTAGGTGCTGATAGGCGTTCTCAAGGCTGGAGGAAACAACGCGACGGTCAGTAGGTGCTTCGCGCATCCTCTAGACAACAACAAAGGGAGTCATCGGTTTACTTCAAAACTGCCTTGAGCAGCAACAAACGAATGCAGTGGGAAGAGTGCGGCGGGATCTGGATTTTATGGTTGTGTAAACTGAAATAATGAGAACGGCCAAGAGAATATTTGTACGAGAAGGAACGCTTCACATTTTGGAAGCCATTTGTTTGTCTTTTTGCAGAACCTACACAGTAAATACGTCGTTTCTGTTGTCATCAAGATTTTCGGATTTCTTGAACAAACTCAGGACGATACACCGTAACCCAGGTGAGAATTAATAAAATACACACCCTCCCCCTAACACATCCTAATAATTGGCCAGATGAGGAGCATTTGCTTCACCGTACCCCACTACCGTGGTTTTAGGCATCTTTTATGTCAAGTAACGCAATACCACCTTATTCTTCTGGGACCTCAAGAAATAAGCCAAGGCTAAGGACGGTGGGTGTTCCAATTGATCATAGTGTTTTCGGCGNTCGGCGATCTACTGATCAGCAGTAGTAAGCGTAACGTATACAGAACGTCACAGGACATGGAAAAGCTGTAGGAAAATAACGGACGCACAGAGCACAAAGCCTTGGTACCTTGAAGACTTTACTTCTTCAATTGTGTCCCAACTTAACAATGTGACTACTACAAATCGCTGACTGGTCCCATAGTAGATGCACTCCTTGCTGGCATATCGTCGCAATTTCCACTTCCATTCTGCTCCACGATTCGAGCTTTTTGCTCCTAATCCGCATCATAGCATACTACCTTATAACGCCATAATCTTAGGGATCTAACGCCAAAAGCCAAATTACCTCTCAATAACTGCTTCAATTGGACACAATATCAGTAGATACCGGTCCTCTATCTGAAATGGAGGTTAACCGGGAAATCAGTTACCCCAAAAGGTATAAGACAGCTTCCCACATGGGCTGTTCCCATCGGTCTTTAAGGATGGAGGATCAGCCTTGGCTTGGAGATGACAAACTCCCGAGAAAAGTGTAGGATGACAGGTTTCAAAGGATTGGTGAGAATCCGTCATCATACCAATTTACGAGAAAGGTACAGATTCCCTTGTGAAAATCAGAGAGGAATTAGCTCGATCAACATTGCCTCGAAGTGTGTAGTTCGTCGATTGTCTGCAGCACGTGAACGACGTACTCGTGTTAACCAGGCTGGTTGTATAGACATCTTCACTCTTCGTCACATTCTAGAACACAGACGCTCCTTTTGTAGACCCGCTATTTTTATCTTCCTCGAGTTGAAAACGGCTTTCGACTCCATCGACCGTTATCTACTCTGGTGCTACCTGGCTCGAGAAAATTATTTCAATTTTGCAATCTCTTTACGCTAGCAGCCGAGGTTGAGTTGGAGTTCAGGACACTTTTTAGCCTCAGTTAATTACATTAAGCGATGTTTCTCAGGGTTGCTCGCTCAGTTTCTATTTACCTTTGTTATAGATTTAATTCTTGAAACGGGTATATCCTCGTGCCAGGATAAGGGCCCATAAGCGATAGACAGTCTGATTTGAAGTATGCGGACATGTTGCTACAAAGTGAAGGTCCAGGTAACTGCAAGTTTTGCTGGATAGTTTGAGTGAGTTTAGCCATGTTTTGTGTGCGTTTTGCACCTTCAAGGTGTAAAATTTTACAAGTTTGGGTTGACCCAACCCGTTTCGGTTTTTAGTTTGTACAAACTTTAACCATGCACTTTCGTGCACCGATTGAGTTTGTTGTCTTTTGGCTGCCCATTTGGATAATGGAGCAGAAGACAGGAAAGTTGAAAGTAGAGTCAAATAGCAAATGGAGGAACTCTTAAGGAGGCTAAGAAATTGAGATGCATGAACGGCAGTTTACGACACTCAGTCATAACCATCGATTACGATTATATCGAGGTCCCCAGCCAGGGAAGCTAACGGGATCTATGTGACCCAGTCTCCTGGTTAAGGTTTACATACCCTAGTGCTAGGTCTTAGGTTTACCACCAATGGTTTTTTTCCACCCACTACCTGTTTCGGCAAACATCGCGCGCCGTGACAACCTATTAGCTGACATGCGTAACACATGCCCCAACCAACGCAATCTATGGGGGTCGACTACTTGCTCCAGTGGACGGCTGCAACTACCTAAAAC